TGCTTTTCTCCAGCTTCTTTTTCTACCCCTTTTAAAGTTCAACCGAGTTCTTTCCAGGAAGCCTTGAACCAGGAAGTGCCCAGAAAGCGAGCAGCGGTGCGCATGCCCCTGTGTCGCCAAGCCGTGGTGCCCCCGAGAGAGGCTCTCCTGGCTGGCCCCCTTCCCGCCCCCGCCCCAGATGTGCGGGCTGTCTGCCTTCTGCCCGGAGGACGCTGAGGGCCGCCTCGGAGGGGGCAGCTGATTCCCGAGGGGGCCTGCGCCTTGCCGTGGCCCTGCCAGCCTCGGGGGGCCGGCTGGCCTGCGAGGGGAAGGTGGCTGTGTGGCTCCCCACCCCTGTTCCCAGGTAACTGAAAAGGCTCGCCAAAGCCTTGATCCAGGTGGGTTGGCAGGAGAAGGTGGGGAAGGAAGGGGAGTGGGGGAAGTCTCCCGGCTGGAGCAGCGGATGGACGGATGGCGAGGCTGGCGAGGCGAGGGTGGGCAAAGCCTCCTTTTGTTTCGGCTGGGCTCTGGTTTCATGTCTTTCTCTTGCCTCCCCCAACCCAAAGGCTTTTAAAATCTTTCTGCGGCAGTCTGAGGTTGCAAGGAGGGAGGGGAGGGAAAGGAAGGAGAAAGGGAAAGGAAAGAGGGAAGGGAAGGGAAAAGAGAAAGGAAACTTCCTGCAGATTCACGGGCTTCCCATCGAATGGCTTAATAGGGTTTTGCCGAGGGGGCGCGACATGCCTTACTCGTTCGAATCTGAGTTTCTTCCTCGCTTTCAGCTGGGCTCCTACACTCAGAGGAAGCTGAAATGGCCTCTTTTGTGCTGCAGTCTCGAACTTGGTGTGGGGGGGTTATATGCTGGGTGAAGAAACCAGCTCTCTTCATACTTAGGACGTAGGAGTGTAATTCCGGCGCCTTAATTCGAGGATTTGCCCGAGGTCAGCTTCTGGGTCAGAATAGGACTTTGCAGGGGGGCATTTTTGGAAGGGTCCTGACACGCCGGATGCTTTAACGTGGTTTAATAATATGGATAATGTTTAAATTGGTCTGAGAAGAAACTCTTGGGTGGCTGGTAAAGAGAAGCAAAACCTTCCTTGCTTCTTTGCCTTGGATGCCCCTCTCAGCGGATGCCCCCGATGCCCTGAACCCGCTCCTGCCCTTCTCAGCCAGCCTGGCAGTGGACTGGGGCTCCAGAAATGGGGGGAGGGCAAACCATGGAGATTTGGTGGCCAGTTTAAAAAGAAAAAAAGAGTAACAAGCAAAAAAGGCAGGTTAAACTCCAGCATTTTTCATGAAGCTATCTGACCTTTTTTAAAAAAGTGCAAAAAGGTGAGAAAAAAGGGGGTGGACATTTCGGGTCCTCCCCCTGCTGTGATGACGGTGGGCCTTTGCACGCAGTGATCCCCACAGGCTGGAAATAACATTAACGATTAAAAAGTCCTGCTCAGGAAAAGATGATCCTCCTTTTATCGTGGACCAGTGCATCAGCGGGCACCCGGCTGGGGCGTGCAATGTGTCGGGAACGTCCACCATCGTTCCGAGCTCTGCCCGATGGCGCCTGTTGTATGAGTGAGTTTTGTCTGGGGAGAAGCTGGGTAATTCTAAGCAGCTCGTGGTTAGAAGAGCGGCTTTAACAGAGCAGCCCCCCCCCCCCCCCCCTTTTGGAAGGACCCCGGCTAGGAGCAGGAGGAGGGAGTTTGTGGGCCGGGCCGGGGGAGGGTTTCGGCTGTGCTCCTCCCCTTCCTCCTAGAGGCACTGGGACTGCAACTCCCAGAATTCCTAGTGATGCTGTCCAGGGGATTCTGGGAGTTCTCTTTCCAACACATGGGGAGGAGAGAGTTCCCTAGATATTT